ACATTGATGACTTTGATTAACGAAAAATTACATTTTATTTATTGTTTTTGTTTTTAATTAAATTATTATTATGCTCATTTTTCTTATTTTGATTTTTTCTCATTATATAATAAATAATTTATTAATGCATTTATCCAATAATTATCTATGATATTTTATGCCTTATTTCATTTCTCTTATATTTGATAATCTGGTAAAATATAGTTCAGACTATAATCATTTTAGATTATTGATATATTTATATAGTTAGTTAAATAAATTAGTTTCATTTTCTACTTTTATTTTGAATTAATAATTTATAATATCAAATATTATGGCGTAACCTCTCCTTTAAAATATAGATATATATAGGCCTATAGAGTTTATTGGCACTCTCAAAACTCTAGAATTTTGAGTTTACTATACCCTTAAGTTGAAAACTATCACAATTTTCCACTTTAATATGCGTGCTTGACTAGGAACATCAATGGTAATGTAATAAACAGAAATTCATCAAAAGTGACAGCTCTCAATTTTTTGACATTTGTAAATTCTAAATTGAATGAGAAAAATGAAATAATACTAAGCATAATACAATATTCTAGATTTAATTATAATTAGGAAAAAGTTAGTTTTGAGAGTACTTTTCATAGGCATATAGAATGAAATCTTCTGAAAAATAATATCACATAAACTCATATTATTTTCTAATATATAACTATTTTATATAAAAATCAAATTCAATGATCTTAAAAGCGAAGGATAAACCTCAAAATTTACGAATATAATGAGTGGGAATATAATGCTTATCTATCATAAAACCATATGAAATATCAATTTTTGCTTTACGCCTAATTTTTGACGACAATTAGCAAAAAATGTTAAATGTTAACACTCAGTCCATTTGAATATGAAAAATAAAATTGACTTTGATTAAATTTTTTATTTATCATGCAATTCTTCTTGCGACCAAAGATTTGAATAAAAGTTCAAAAAATAAGATAGCTTAAAAATAATATACGGTAGTGTTTACTAATAGATGAATAGTATATAAATTCTATTAAAATGGATTTGATCCAAAAAAATATATAAAATTTGATCATAAATAAAATCGTTTTAAATTACTTCTTCATTTAAATTATAACAATTATTTTTGGTTTTATATTTTTTTGGATCAAATCCATTTTAATAGAATTTATATACTATTCATCTATTAGTAAACACTACCGTATATTATTTTTTAAGCTATCTTATTTTTGAACTTTTATTCAAATCTTTGGTCGCAAGAAGAATTGCATGATAAATAAAAACATTTAATCAAAGTCAATTTTATTTTTCATATTCAAATGGACTGAGTGTTAACATTTAACATTTTTTGCTAATTGTCGTCAAAAATTAGGCGTAAAGCAAAAATTGATATTTCATATGGTTTTATGATAGATAAGCATTATATTCCCACTCATTATATTCGTAAATTTTGAGGTTTATCCTTCGCTTTTAAGATCATTGAATTTGATTTTTATATAAAAATAGTTATATATTAGAAAATAATATGAGTTTATGTGATATTATTTTTCAGAAGATTTTGTGTTCTTCTTCAAAATTTTATTTTTTATTAAAAAGAATCTTTACAAAATATACATTTACTTTAATTAATATTTAAAAACGTGCTCTATCAAAAGTTCCAAAAATTCAATATTTTAGCTTTTCTGAGGTGTCACTTTTGATGAATTTCTGTTTACAACAGTAACATCTCGATATATTCATTTGTGGCAAATAAAAAGATTATGAAATTTATTATGAATACCCAGATTTTCCTTACTTTTACCACTCCCCATGTAATTTCTGGGGAAAACGATAATTCATTTTTTTTATGGATGAATAGATCGTTTTCCTAGAAAGGACCTCATATCTCTGGCTAAAAAGAGTGTCAGATCCTAAATAGATTATTAATCTAGTGTACAAATCCAATAAAAAGCCTATTTTTTTGGCTTTTTTGGTGCTCATTTTTTCGAAGATCTACATGAATATGGGGAAACCATCGGCTTTTTTTGGTTAACCCACATCTTCATGTAGTCTGGACTATCTTTCCTCGAAGGACCTCTTTACGGGTGTAAAAACTCATAAAGTTCTCAAAAGATTCATTCTCGATCTCCATGCTGAAAGAATTTACAATAAAAAAGAGATCTACGCATCAAACTACAGCCATAAATGAACTGAACCCCTAAAGCTCAGCTCTTAGTTTTATCAAAAACGTCGAAATCCTTCTCATTGCAATCAAATTTTCTCAATAACTCATAAGAAAAATCGAATTTTTGATTAAGCCGATGTTATAGGTATCACAAATACTACAAACTTGAGCAATATCGAAATTGCCAGCAAAAGTTTGAAATTGCATTGCTCATATTTGTTTTGTAAACTAAAAATCTGCTTATATTATTCATTAATTTTTATATATTATTCATATACTTTAATAAAAACAATACTATTTCACCTTAAAAATGAATTTCATAAGTCAAATTATTTTTTTTGAAAATGTATCAATTTTCGATTAAAACAACATGAGAAAAAATTTACGCAAAATTATTTTAAAAATGGTTTTAAAAATTTACAATTGATTAAGAATAAGATTGCAAGAAGTTTTGAAGTTTAATTTTAAGAAAAAAAATTCGGATATTATTCATGGATCTAAGTAATCTGATATTTGAGTATCGGCACTATGCATAAAACATATATTTATAGTTTTTTTGGATTTTTATGATTTTAAATATATTCAAATTTGGCAATCCAATAGATTTTAAAAAATAGGTAAATAAAAATAGATTACATATGCAGCAGATTTAGAACATGAAACAAATCTTATAGTGACCCAAAAGAAAATTCATGATCCAAAAAAGAAAAAATTTGGCTAAATGGGAATCAAACCTTGGCATAATGAATCATTATGTCGGATGTTTCCACTACACCGGCAGGTCGAAAAATACCCTTGGTGGTTCTATTTAATAGCTACTCCAACGATAGGCGGTGTCCCCAGCTTTAGAGGGGTGGTAAAAGTAAGGCAAATCTGGTATTACACAAAAAAAGGAGGTGATAGCAAGACAAAAATAGACATATTATCATGTTTGTCTAATTCATCTATGCATTGTATATAATCGAAATTTATTTTGTAACTCACGTATTTTCAAGCTCCCTTTGTAATAAACAGAAATTCATCAAAAGTGACAGCTCTCAATTTTTTGACATTTGTAAATTCTAAATTGAATGAGAAAAATGAAATAATACTAAGCATAATACAATATTCTAGATTTAAAAAAAGGTAGTGGGGCTTCCAGGCGCGTTGCGCCATCTAGCCCGAAGATGTTTAGTATAAATGAAGTTTTTATTCGGAGGGCTTCCAGGCGCGTTGCGCCCTCTAGCCCCGAAGATGTTTAGTATAAATGAAGTTTTTATTCGGAGGGCTTCCAGGCGCGTTGCGCCATCTAGCCCCGAAGATGTTTAGTATAAATGAAGTTTTTATTCGGAGGGCTTCCAGGCGCGTTGCGCCATCTAGCCCGAAGATGTTTAGTATAAATGAAGTTTTTATTCGGAGGGCTTCCAGGCGCGTTGCGCCCTCTAGCCCCGAAGATGTTTAGTATAAATGAAGTTTTTATTCGGAGGGCTTCCAGGCGCGTTGCGCCCTCTAGCCCCGAAGATGTTTAGTATAAATGAAGTTTTTATTCGGAGGGCTTCCAGGCGCGTTGCGCCATCTAGCCCCGAAGATGTTTAGTATAAATGAAGTTTTTATTCGGAGGGCTTCCAGGCGCGTTGCGCCATCTAGCCCGAAGATGTTTAGTATAAATGAAGTTTTTATTCGGAGGGCTTCCAGGCGCGTTGCGCCCTCTAGCCCCGAAGATGTTTAGTATAAATGAAGTTTTTATTCGGAGGGCTTCCAGGCGCGTTGCGCCCTCTAGCCCCGAAGATGTTTAGTATAAATGAAGTTTTTATTCGGAGGGCTTCCAGGCGCGTTGCGCCATCTAGCCCCGAAGATGTTTAGTATAAATGAAGTTTTTATTCGGAGGGCTTCCAGGCGCGTTGCGCCATCTAGCCCGAAGATGTTTAGTATAAATGAAGTTTTTATTCGGAGGGCTTCCAGGCGCGTTGCGCCCTCTAGCCCCGAAGATGTTTAGTATAAATGAAGTTTTTATTCGGAGGGCTTCCAGGCGCGTTGCGCCATCTAGCCCGAAGATGTTTAGTATAAATGAAGTTTTTATTCGGAGGGCTTCCAGGCGCGTTGCGCCCTCTAGCCCGAAGATGTTTAGTATAAATGAAGTTTTTATTCGGAGGGCTTCCAGGCGCGTTGCGCCCTCTAGCCCCGAAGATGTTTAGTATAAATGAAGTTTTTATTCGGAGGGCTTCCAGGCGCGTTGCGCCATCTAGCCCGAAGATGTTTAGTATAAATGAAGTTTTTATTCGGAGGGCTTCCAGGCGCGTTGCGCCCTCTAGCCCGAAGATGTTTAGTATAAATGAAGTTTTTATTCGGAGGCTTCCAGGCGCGTTGCGCCCTCTAGCCCCGAAGATGTTTAGTATAAATGAAGTTTTTATTCGGAGGGCTTCCAGGCGCGTTGCGCCATCTAGCCCGAAGATGTTTAGTATAAATGAAGTTTTTATTCGGAGGGCTTCCAGGCGCGTTGCGCCATCTAGCCCGAAGATGTTTAGTATAAATGAAGTTTTTATTCGGAGGGCTTCCAGGCGCGTTGCGCCCTCTAGCCCATCAAAAATTTCTGAGGACGAGCCAGCGGTGACTTTTTTGTAGAGCACTCAAAATTATATAACTTTGTCCGGACAAGTAAGGGTCTATCGTCGCTACAGGAAAAGTTACAGGCGTTCCAAGGAAGTATACTTTGAGAAGCCTTTTCCCCCTTATAGAATGAGGTAGGACGGTTATTTTACAAAACTGACAACACTTTGACCGAGTAGTTTTTTGTGCTGAACAAAAAGTGTCATATAAACATCTGTCAAAAACCGTTTTTTACTTCACTTAAATGCCACGTAAGCTACGTAAGAATATACGTAAGAGGAAGGGAGCATTGAAACATCCAATAGTAAAACTGACACCACAACAACAGTTGCAACAACAAATGATGAATGACCCCACTATGTTGCAACAAATGTCAAGCAACCCTATGCTTTTAAACCGAGTTATTGGTGCACAGAGTGGAGGTTTAAGAGCGGCACTTTTAGCGAAAATGGCAGGCTATGGTGGAGCTGCAGATGGAACAGCTTATAACCCTCAAAGTCAAATGAATTTGAGTTCACTCAAAAATCAAATAACAGATGTCAAAAAGTCAAACATAGACATACAGAAACAAATAAGTGAAAACGAAAAGAAACTAGAATATGACAGACACACAAAGAAACTCAATGAGTTAAACGTAGAGAAAAAGAAGAAAGAAGAACAACTGAAAGAACTAAGTACAGAGGAATATGCGAAAAAAGTGTCAGAAAAAGCAGCAGAAGTAGCAAAAATGGAACAAGATGTTATAAATTTGAAAAACCATACTACTCAATATAAAGTACTGAAAGATGAAGAAATAATACAAAAAGCCATGAAGACATATATGGATAGCGATGAGTATAAAAAAGAAGTTGAAGCAAATGTAAAGGCAGAAAAACTTTTACAGTTGCAAAACCAAACCGTACAGTATGAAAACTTAGCACAAGAAAGTAAAAATAACGACGCAGCCATGCAAAAGGCAATGAAAAGCGCAGATATTATAAAAGCTAATAATGACTGGTTAGATGCCCAAGCCAACGCTAAAGCAGCCCAACTTATAGGGTCAATAAGGACAAAAATACAAGCGGATGAAGATAGTTCAAATGAAGCTTTAATGAATGCTGACTTTAAGAATGCCTTCGAAGCTCTTCATAGTAAGGTGAAACTAGTGAACGACTTCTCATCTGGAAAGAAACTGAAGTCTGAAGGTTTCGACAAAGAGTTAAGAGAAGTAGCACAAAATATGACGAAAATAACAGATGCAGCAACGAGACAGGCAGTTCAAAGTGCATATGACGCCGTTAGAGCAACTGTTGTGGAAAGTCAAGAAAAAGAGTTACAACAGACCAAAACAGACCTAGTAAATGCTTTCTTAAGAACGAAAAGTCAGGTAGGACATTATGCTGCAGATGGAACATATGTGCCAGCTGGTGGAACTTATATACCACCAAACCCTCCAAGAGAAGCACCTGCACCAGGACTACCTAAAACATTTACATCGTCACATGGACACAGACACAGGCATACACCACAACAACAACCAACAGTTCAAAATCCAGCACCACAACAACAACCAAAACCAACAGTTCAAAACCCAGCACAGCAACCAACAGTTCAAAACCCTGCACAACAACCAACAGTTCAAAACCCTGCACAACAACAACCACAAACAGAGCAAGGACATAAAAGAAGTAGAGAAAAAGGAAACCAAGAATTCTTAAAAATGCTTAAGGAAGATTATGGTTACCCAGATACTCTTGACTTTAGTGACAGATATAAAGAAGCTATTAGAAAGTTCAAGGAAGGAAATACTGACCCGAACCTATTTAGCTTTATGGCTCAGCATCAAATCGGATATAATCTCAAACCTGGAAAATACAAGCTCGCTAAGGGATATGATTTAATAGCATATCATCCAAATGACATGAATGAATTTACTCCGAGATATTTGATGTCAGAGCTAAATGATAATTCAACTCTCTTCATGAAACGCGTAAAAAATAGAGACGGAACGAAAGAAGAAAGGTTACGAGTCCGGATGACTTAGATAGGGAACTTGTTAAAAACGGTCTCGGAATATATGAAATGCCAGCAGATGAGGTACAAGAAACTCAACAGGAAGAAGTTCAGATACAACCAGACATGGAAGAAATAGTTCAGCAACAACAGCTAGAAGAGCCTGAAGGAAACGAACAAGTCCCTCCTTTGGAAACTAACTTCACAGAACTAGATGAAGATTTGGAACAGCCGAAAAATCTTGACCCTCAACAAGTGTATGCGGAGAATATGGAATCTTTCCAAGAGTCTAAGAAAAATTCGGCTGACATAGTAGAAGAATATCGAAAAATGTTCACCGACATACAAAAGACTCCAACATCAGATGAAAATATTCAGCATAGAATGGAAGTACTGAAAGAAAATGTACGCAAATACAATAATCCTTTTTACTTACGACCATATAACGTTCAATCTTTGGCTGAACTCGGTGAAAATAAAAGGTTAAATTTCAACAAAACATATAGAAATGAAACATTGTTTAAAGTTCATTCAGAACCTAACCAATATGGAAACAAACCTACTTTTGTTTCTGCAGACTATGGAACTACAATGAGATGGGGTCATAAAGCTAATCCGGATAGGTGGTTCATAAACTTACAACCTCAATTCCAAGAAGTTGTAGACGCAATGGAATTGAATGGTGAACCAGATATAACTGGTATTTTCAGTGCGGCTTTAATGCCATTGAAAGATATGAAAGATGCAGATATTTTGGACCAGTATGAAATGAACATGGCTGGGGGAAATATAACACCTGACGTTCTAGAACATTTATCTCAAAGAACTACACAGAACCATAGAGATGGTATATTTGGTGAAGAGTTTAGAAAGAAAGTTAGGGAGAGAGAAGGAAGAGAACCTATTGTACATGACCTTGCAAACGAAAGTTTGCAAAATGTCATAAAAACTTACTTTGCAGACAATGAACTGAGAAGGGATGAATATTTAAGAAAACTCAAATGGACAGTACCAAATGAAATGATAGTATTGAAAAACATGTTCCTTGACAAAATAAAACCAACTACAGAAATAAATGACGCAAGACTGAAACATTGGGTAAAAGCTTTCCAATTCACAAAAGATATTATTGGTTACATGGAAAGAAAACCAGAATGGCTACAAAAACATATATTTGGAAACAAGCTTATTCCATATGGACAAGCTCTGTTTGAAGAGCTTGAACCGGAAACTCAGGAAAGAGTCATGCAAACAATAAGCGAAGACTCAAATACAAACTATGACAAAATCTTTCTAGGATATAGGTTACCTGAGATGGGCGACCAGAGCCCAAAGGCAAAAAGGACATGGGAAATTTACAACATACTAGGTGAACATGAGGCAAAGATGCAACAACTTGAAGCAGAGGGCAAGTTACCAAAAGCGACACCAAAGAAGAAGAGAAGAGTAGAACAAAGTGAAAGTAGTGAAGAAGTAACTTCATCTAGTGAAAGTAGTGGCAATGAAGGAAAAAGAAGAGTTAAAAACTCAGTCAGGAAGAAAGTAAAGCTTGGTCCGAGTGGGTTCTATTATGACACATAAATCCAACTATTCTATATTTTTACCCATATGAAATGTACGCCGCTCAGAATATAACGCCAACAGTTTTGGATGCCATGAACGGAAATGTTTCCGAATGGTATAACGAATGCGACAATGCCATTAGAAGGTCAGAAATAGTTCCTGGAACTTACGAATATACAACTGCTGTTTCTTATGGAAACGTAGGTGAGTTTGGAGAAGGTTCTTCAACAACAGTAGATATTGCTTGCGACAGGTTTCATATTATTTCTATTGACAACTCATTCTTATACGTGGAACAAGACATTGAAATAAAACCTTCTGCCAAGTTGTCTGACAAGAAAGGTTGCAATGGAATTTTCTATGTCGGATACCAATATGCTCCAGAAGTTTTCATGGGATATAAGATATATTCTAACTCTGACTTAGTTCAAACAGTAACATGGGCAAACTATGAATGGTTCGCTTTGAGAAACTCAGTACAACCACAAGCTAGAGAACAAACAGACCAGTATGCAACTATTGAGAAAATAAGAAGACTTGACCCTAACGTTCCAGGAGTTTATGTTAACCTTTCTGGTTCAGATGGAATTGCTGCCACTAAAGTAAAAATGAAACTTAGAGTTCTTTTGTCATCTTTCCTCATCTTCAGGTTTTTAAGATACTTGCCAAACTGGGCAGGAAAAATTTCTATCGAACTTACTCCAAGCAAAAATAACTTAGTCATTGCACCAACACAAGATCCATTCACTATTACAGACGTAAAGGGAACAAATCAAACGTCATTCGCCGAATTTTGCAAAGACAAAGTTGACTTAGACTTTGGTTTCTCAAACTTCAACAATGAAGTAAACTATTATTTCAATGCTGCTGGAACTGCTTGGGACCCAGTTAAGTTCACATGCGAACAGTTTGAATGCAAGAGAATAGAAAGCAGACTTGCAGTCTATATGTTGGACCCAGATATTTCAAATGCTTTAGCTGCCAAATATATTGCAGTTCCACTTATGTTCCCTATACACCAAATATCTGTCAAAGACTTTGCAGGTGAAGTTGGAAACCAAAATCCAGGAGCCGCAGGTGCAAGAACAGATATTGCTTTAACAACTGCAATGAAACATGCAGATACTATGTTTGTACTGTTCAGACGAACTATAAATGACTATTCTTGTTTCTACAACCCTGGTATTAAATATCATATAAACATAGATGGCAAATATTATCCAAGAGAAGAATATTCTACAGTTGAGGATATGAGGTCATACAACTTGACATTAGATGCTATGAACTTTAACAACAACTTCACAACAACCATTAACCCTGAAATGCAAAGTTCTATTATGCCATATGTGAAAGTATGGACTCATACAGGAGGTCAAAAAACTCAATATACAAATGGAGACCGTTCAAACTTTTGGCTTGGCATTCCATTTGCTGACTCAGAAGACTTTATGGGTGGTATTTCAACTGTTGGTATTGTACAAATACAATATACTGGTGACAGAGACGGTCCAGATGAATTGAGAGCAAAGAAGTTTACAAAACCAATAGCACTTTTCACGGAAGATGCTCTTTTGAAGATTCGTTCGATGAAACTTGCTGGGGCTCCTCAGATTGGCATAACGACAGCTTCCATCGACGCTTCTATTTTTCGGAAATGACAACTCCTGACGAATATGCTAAAGAAGTTGAAAATGACGACTAAGCAATTCTATACCATGCGTAAACTGTCATGTAAGGTGGCATGTATTCTTTACTTTGTCCCGTTGTTTGTGTATATCCTGAAACGAAATGTGTATGGTTTCCTTCTCCCTGAGTGTCACTCCAGTAACAATTTATAGCAAACTTAACGTCGTCTTTAACATCATATCCTTTACCTTTTGTCATTCCTGACCAATCCCAATATCTATGCTTATGCTAACCTGCTTGAGATGTACTTAAATCTATGTAGTGACTGTGTGCAGGTAAATTTTCACCTGAAATCGTTTTACTTCCACCTGTTTCCTTTGAAGAGTTTGCACAATACAAAAACCTGTCGACTATTTGTTCCCATGCACCAACACCAAACATTACTTGAGGACCTCTTGCTTCCATAGATGTATAAATAGAACCTATTGGGTTCATTAAATCAAACATATGAGATATTATAGGATTGTCTCTTTTGAACTTAAAATATAGTGCAACTATTTCAGGTTTCTTCTGGTTTGTGTCAGAATATTTTTTATAATATAATCTTATGTTTTCAGGGTAGGTAAAGTCTTGACTATAATATTTATTTCTGTCATCTGTATAATAATATACTATTCTCGTTTTTTCTATTGCATTATATCTTTTATATCTATAATAATCTAAATATAATGTTAGCTTTTGTTCATCTACATGTGGTGTTCTGTCGTCATCTCCATAGTCATAATAATATGGTGCTGGAGCTGGGTCAGGCAATGTCATATCTGCCATTTCATAAACTCTTAAATATTTCTTTTGTTCGTCTCCATATAAGTTTAAGTAGCAGTTGTTGTCTAATGGAACTTTAACTTGTGTACCATCATTCTTTTTATAGCTTACATACATTTCATTGTTATTTTTCGGAATGAGTTTACACCGTGTACCATTTTTTAAGGACTGTACCAACTGCCATCTAAAATATTTATTTTCTTCATTGACAGAAAAGTCACCAACAATAGTTTCAATATTTTTTGTTCCTATCAAACTTTGGTATATTTCATTGACATATGTTTTATCTGCTTTATTTTCAAGGCTAACGTTTAAGTCTGTTATTTCAGATATAGAATGTGTATGTCCAACGTCACTTTTCCTGTTTAAGGTTTCTTGTAAGTTTGTAATATTTGCAATGGTATGTGTATGTCCAACGTCACTTTTCCTGTTTAAGGTTTCTTGTAAGTTTGTAATATTTGCAATGGTATGTGTATGTCCAACGTCATTTTTCCTGTTTAAGGTTTCTTGTAAGTTTGTAATATTTGCAATGGTATGTGTATGTCCAACGTCACTTTTCCTGTTTAAGGTTTCTTGTAAGTTTGTAATATTTGCAATGGTATGTGTATGTCCAACGTCACTTTTCCTGTTTAAGGTTTCTTGTAAGTTTGTAATATTTGCAATGGTATGTGTATGTCCAACGTCACTTTTCCTGTTTAAGGTTTCTTGTAAGTTTGTAATATTTGCAATGGTATGTGTATGTCCAACGTCACTTTTCCTGTTTAAGGTTTCTTGTAAGTTTGTAATATTTGCAATGGTATGTGTATGTCCAACGTCACTTTTCCTGTTTAAAGTTAGTTGTAAGTTTGTAATATCAGATATAGAATGTGTATGAGTCTTATCTGCTTTTGTCTCTAATGTTTCCTTAAGACTTGGTATTTGGTTAATATAATGTATATGAGTCTTTTTAGAATATTCGTTTTCAGCTCTTGTCACTTCACTTGACATTTTATTGTCAACATATGTTTTGTCTGCTAGTTCAGGATGAGTATGTTCTTTTGTTGCATAAGCATTGTTAGCTCTTTCTTCTTCTTTTGCTATTGCATCGTCTACATATTCTTTGTCAGCTTTGTTGTCAACATCTGCTTTCAAAAGAAGTTCATTTATAGGTTTCTCGTTTAAAGTTCCTTTTGTTGGATTTATACAGACAGTATGGTTCTTATTGTCTTGAAACAGAAACTCATCTGTCATTGGGTTTAATGTCAGTTTTAAGTTTCCTTCTTTCAATGACTCAGATATCTTAGAATAGTTTGAAAAGTTTGTTGTGTTCTTATTTAGAGCTTGCATAATGAGTTGTCGGTTGTGTTGTATTTCTCTCATAGACGCTGTTTCATTTGACATTTTTATTATAGATAAAATATGCTTCCAATAGAAAAAGAAAATTCTAGAGTTGCTACAACTAAACCATTAGATGAACTTTTTACTAATGTCGGTCAAAAGTTTGAGACAGATACCGTAAAGCATGAAGGCTATCGTTTTGACTACCCATTAAGATGGCTAAGAGACCCATCCGTCACAAAAGCTATTGGCTTTCGTAGAATGAAGTTCATTTCAGAAGCCATACATGGTTTCCCATTTACGGTCGGTTTTGAAGTTCGATACTATAACAAAGAAAAACGTATGTATGAGAAATTTGAACAGGGAAAACTTTTACAAGTTAGTTTGCTTGTAAATTTAGAAACAACTCTTCAAGCTTTTCAAGAAAAAATAAACGATATCTATATCGAATATGCAAACCAGTATAACATTGACGAAGGAGAATACCATCTCGATATTATTTATGACAGGAAAAATGCAACTGTTAAAATCAATAGAATAGAAGACCTTGGAGAAAACGTTTATATTTCTACAAAATATAACAACTTGGCATGGTATAGATTTATGAGGATGTTAAATCAGCCTGCAGCATATCCAGTACACCCGGACTATTATGAAGTCGAAAACCCTAATGGAACATATGAAAATATTTTCGACCAAGATGCTATTATTGTTCATGCTTCATTTTCTGGCGCCCAAAACTCTTTTTTATGCTTGGCAAATGACTTTTACGAAAAACCTACAAAGTTATACGAACCACCAAGTGGAAGTATTTCAGACTTTCAAGTATGGTTTACTACAGATGGAAGAAAAAGAATAATTCCATTATACCATGCGTTTTACTTAGAACTTAGTTTCATATACAACTACTATCGAACGGTAAAAATATAATTTTTTAATACGGTTGAGGTGTTGGATTTGGTTGCCAACTTGACTGTGGTGCAGGTTCAGGCTGTTGTATAACAGGAGCTTGTTCTTCTGGTTCAGGGTCTTTAGGTATAATACCAACAAACTGACCTACTCTTTTACCAATATTTTTGACACCGTTCCATACTCCTCTTCCGACAGATTTTATTCCATTCCATATACCTCTTCCAACTCTTCTGAAGAAGTTTCCAATACTACTGAAGAAACCCATTTTACTATATGTAAAAATCTAATGTCCGCCTAGTCTCTTACGTTTCCTGTTGAGTTCCATAGCATTCTTTAACTGGAGCTCATACATTCTGTTTCTCCTCTGGTAGAAAACATATTCTGGGTCAACTCCTGTGTTCGCGTCATCTGCATAAAGTTGTTTATATCCCACTTCAGGGTTTGTATAAAACTCTTTCCATCTCATATTTGCATACCATGGTGGCAAACCTAACGCAGCGTCATTTGACATGGCAGTTTGCATTTGTACATCTGTTGGCACTTGACCATAGTTTGCCATTGCAGTTTGTATTCTAACTTCATTTGGAATATTCTCTGGGTTTGGTTGTCCAGGTTGCTGTGCATTCGCTAAGTTCTGTGCGTCCATTTAATATTAGATAAAAATATCTCTTACGAGTACATATACTGAACATTTGCAGGCATTGGTTCATCTTCATATTCTCTGTACTTTTCTGCCACGTCAAATAAATAAATGACACAATGGAAAAAACCTAAAACTAACAATCCGATTTCAAACCACATTTACTTACTAATAAAATTTCTTTATTGTGACACTTTCTCCGGTTTATAGGACCTCTCTCATATTCTATCTTGTCATATATAAACTCATAGTCATGTATGTCCTCTAACCATCTCATAACGGTTTCCAAACCACTTTTATCGGATGTAAAGTAAAAGCATGGATGGTTATGTATAACGTCTAAAGTTTCTAAAGAGTCTCTCAAAGTCCAGTCTACTTGGTATTGAAAATCCATGTGTTATAGAACGGCAGGTCCACTATAAAGAAAACATTTTCCTTGTCTTTATATTTTTCATACAACTCTGTCCAACGACATCTCACAAACTCTATACCCTCAATATATTTTTCTATGTCCTCTTTGAAAACATTTGTATAGTTAAGATATAAAACTTTTGACATAAGTGTTTCAATGTCATGAACTCTTATAGAACCACTATATAATAGTCTAGCAGATATACTATCCCAGTCTATATATTCTGCTTTTTTCAAAACCTCTCTCACAATATTTTTCTTATCTAATGGTATACGTTCCATCTTACCTATAGGTATCTTTTCTTTTAACTCTTTCAATATATTGTTTGTGTCTGGTATATGTTTGAGACGGTCCATATAGTTGTCGAAGTCATTGCATATAATCTTTGAGTCTGGGAATATTGTATGGCACAAATGGGATATATAGAAACTTCCACCGAACAAATCTACAAATGTTAGACCATTCGGTAGTTTCTTAAGTTCTCTCAATATAATATCTTTACATCCACTCTTATTTCCAAAGAACGGTAACGGTGGTTTTGTAAAATTCATTTATATATAATAATAAAAATGTTTTTACCTGAAAAGTGACAGAAAAGTGACAAAACATGAAAACATATATAATTTGTGAAAAGCGACACAAAAAGTGTCACCGGCTGGTCGGCTGGGGTTCGGTCCTCCTCTTGGGTCTTGGGAAAAATTTCTTATGGGCTAGAGGGCGCAACGCGCCTGGAAGCCCCACTACCTTTTTTTTTTCATTTCTATTTTACTATCTATCTGCTTGCCTATATTTCTTCACTCTTGACATAAATTTTTCAAAAATTTTAATGGCAGATTACAATGATTACCTGATAGCTTTCACTCAAGTATGCAGATTCTTCAATGCATTCGCGCCATCTACAAAATTATTTATAGTGCCACTTACATCTTATCAACAGAGGTTTGATTTTTTTGAACTATCTCCAACTGTTTATAAAGTTAATGAAAAAGTTATGGAACTTTTAAACTTAATTTATTCAATTAATGTAGACGAATTACCAGAAGAGTCTCTTTCAATGTATTATCAATTGAAAGATCAAACTGAATTCCAATTTGGAAATTTTATACAATATCTAAATAAGTACTTATATTGGATTAATAAAGAATGGCCTGGTTTACTTAAATCGTTAGATTCTATTGCAATCAAGTATCGAACTTATCTCAACCTAAATTTCATACAAAGATTTTCATACAAATCGAAAGAAATATATCCAATAATAAAAAAATTTTGTCGTGAACTAAGAGTTGATTTTAATGAGTTTTCTAATGGTGTTGATGAGGTCTATTGTGATTTACTCGATTTTGGTGTATCAGTTCTTAAAACAATTTCCAGTGTAAAGAAATTGATTTCAATTGTCAAAGAAAATCGAAAGCAACAAATCTTTCAAACTTACAATGATCAAGATAATCCAAAGGAAGAATTTAAATACCTGGAGAATCGATCTTATCTTAAGTCACTTCAATTTGAAACATTTCATAAAAGACCATATTCTGGTATTCCTAATATATTCTAGATTTCATTTTTTAAATTTTTAAAAATCTTTAAAATTTTATTCGACGAATTTATAATGTTCAAGAATATACAGAATTATAAAGTATTTTCATCCTTTTTAAGGCACATTTTATTAAAAAGTTTGCGTTATTTCCATCTCAATTTCTTTCAATCTCCCTCAATTTTTGTTGGGGTATCTCTTTATAAAAATGGTGTTTCTTGAACCTTTTGACTTTTATTTTTAGGTGACAATTTTGTTCTCAATAATTTTACAACATCTTTTACAACATCTTTTTCCGCATTTTTTACATCTTTAAAAAATGTTATATCGATTTATCCCTAAATACAAATAATATGGGAGTGAAAATTTTTGACAAACCAATCATTCACTTCATTTTTCAGATGAAAATTAGTTCTATCTTACAAAATGATCAATCGGATGATGATTTAATTGAAGATGGTGTTAATGGGGTTTCTCAGTCATTCAATAGTGATTATATATGGGATGATTATGATATGGAAGCATATCTTGGAAACCTGACTGTAGATTTTGACTGTGAAACTTATTTTTGTTGTAGCTGTTGTTTTCATCCGCCCAAATGCTGTGAATGCTGTTACATACCACATAGGTTTCTTAATTGCATATCATGCACTCCCACTTGCGGAATTGGCAGAATTTTCGCATGTATTATAATTTTGATTGGCAACATATTCAATACTTTCAATGAACTTCCACTATTGACCGCATATATAGCCTCAATTGTCAGTTTAGTTATCTCATATTTCGATGAAACTCCAATCATTAGAACCACAACGATTGCCATTTTTTCCTTTCTCTGGTTATTGATTTTTTTACGGATTTTACATCTTTGGCCAACGACTCTTGAACAATATTTGATAACGGGAGATGTTACCACAAGGAAAATTCAGTATTTGAATCATATGATTGTTCATACTCCAATAGGTTCTTCGCTTGAATCTGACTTTCCATCTCTTTGTAACTTACTTAAAAATATCAAACTTCGGGAATGGTTCATGGATGAAGATTTACGTGCAAAATTTACATTGCATTTTAACATATTTAATTATCGAACTTTTGAAGGTGATAATCGAACATTTTTATTGAATGATCTATATAAGAATTGTCCAGAAAAAATCCAGATAAAACCCCACAAATCAACCAACAAAATTTCTTTCAACCATTAATTCGTGTTTCCATGCAAGGAAATCAACAAAGTCAACCTCTACCCATGCCTTACCAGCAAAGTTCCAATGCTTATTATTCCTATATTCCTAATCTAATTCAATTATCTCCTTATTCACAGAACTCATTTCAAAATTCAGCGTAACAATAAACAAAGTTTTCATATCACAAATTACCAAATCATAGAGTCCCAAAAATGTTGAAGGCATAAATTGACTAGATATTGTATCAAGATCATGAAATTACTCAAATAATCTTATATATTTTCATATCACAACTCGTCTTTTGAGTTATTAGATCTTATTAGTAAACATTTATTTTATATATCAATTACAAATGAATCAATTGAGAGGAGTGTTTATGAAGATTAAGTGCCGAATGGAGCCCTGTGAATTATCGAATAGATTTTATTGAATTGAAAACCAATTGAAATTATAAAGTTGATAATATTAATTATTTCTGATAGTATAATAGTTTAATGCGAACTTGATAAATTTTTAAGATCAGAATTTTTTTGCCAAAAAAAATTTAAGATCATAATTTATAGGTTTAGAAAGTATTAATAAATGATTGTAATATTTTGCAAGTCGCTTAAAATATCATTTGAATGTCGATAATTCAGTAATTGAAAGATTTATCAAAAATTGAAAAGAGTATGACGTTTGAAAGAGAACTTCATTTTCACACAAGTATGACTTGCTGCTCCTGCTGCGCTAGAACAGTTATTGGAATTGTCAACTTCATTGTTCTTCTCATTCTTGGCCTATGTGTCTTCATTGGTTGGGCTGCAATCAAAAAGAATAACCTTGATACTTTAGGCAAAGCAAAAACAGGTGTAATTATGATGATTGTTGTTTTCGTATTTGTTGCAATTGTATGCATTCTTGGCTTCCTTATTATTTGCTTTGGTAACATTAAATGCTACAGAGTCACATACGCAATCCTGTTCATTGTAGTTGTTGTTATTGAAATTGTTATCATTGCCGTAGCAATTGGTATTGTAAAGAAGATTAACACTACTGTTCAAGCTTGGTGGGATGAAAACAAAGGCAAAGATACAATCAAAAGTATCAAAGAAGGCTTAGAATGCTGTGGTTACAAGACACCATATAGCGAAGAAGATATGAAGAACTGTGGTTATCACAACACAACTGCAACAACAATTGAAACTTGCACCCAACAAGTAGATGATCTTATCAAAGCATGGAAGAAGATTCTTCTAGGTGTTGGTATCTTTGTTATTGTAATTCAAGTAATTGTACTTGCTTTCGCTCTTTATCTTGCTTTCTGGTATGAAAAAGAATAAAACTAAATAAACATTTTCCACCTTTAAGAATAAATCAACTTTAAATAAAATTGTTCTTCAGTCTTAGTAAATGATAAGTGGAATAAACTAAATTATAGTACAATGTATGTGCATTCGCTGAATAAATGAGGATATTTTTATATAAATACAAAGTATTGAAATCTTTTTGAATAATTGTTGATTTTAATTGGGAAGATTCAATATCAATTCTGTGTTTAATTCTTGTTGTTCTTCAATAAATGCAGCATTTGGTTTTCTTTTGACTCTTT